AAATAAAGGTAGAGTTCTTCGCTAGGTTTCGGTGTGACCAACAGGGGCGCTGAAGACAAATACTCCTTGAGCTCGGCCAAAGCCCGGTCACATTCTTCATCCCATGAGAACTTTGATTTCAGAGCTTGAAAGAAAGGGCGGCAGCGATCTGATGACCGGCTTATAAATCGATTAAGCGCAGCGGCCATTCCGGCCAGATGCTGTACATCCTTAGCCGAGCTAAGCTGCTTTAATTCTTGTACGACTCTGATTTGTGTGGGGTCTGCCTCGATGCCTCGGTTCATGACTAAGAAGCCTAAGAATTTTTCGGATCCCACGCCAAAGGCACACTTGGACGCATTTAGGCGTAGCTTGTGTTGTTTGAGAATGGAGAACATCTCGGCCAAGTCGGACAAGTGGTCTGCTAAGCCTCCATTGTCCAGCCTAGCAGAGGAGCGAACATCTTGGTCACATCCTTTGAAAAGTTGTCCCGGCGTTTTTTAAACCAAAAGGCATGACTCGGTAGTAGAAGAGTCCCCTTGGTGTAGTGAATGCGGTGATCTCGTAGTCGGGGCCATGCATGGCAATCTGATAATAATCGCGGTAGGCATCTAAGAAACTGAGCCGGTTATGTCCAGCCGTCAAGTCCATAAGCTGGTCTATTCTGGGCAGTGGAAAGCTATCTTTAAGGCAAGGTCGGTTGACGATTTTATAGTCGACACAAACTCGCCACTTCACATTCTTCTTTGGTACAACCACGGTGTTTGAAATCCACCGAGGGTAGTGCACTTCCTGAATAGCTCGTGCCTCAAGCAAGTTCTTTACTTCCTCTGCAACTACCTCGGCATGATGCAGCGCCGATCTCTTTGTTCGCTGAATGACCGGCTTGGCTCCGGGGAAGACATTTAGGTGATGGCAAATAAAACTCGCATTGAGGCCGGGCATGTCATAAGGCGACCATGCGAAGACTTCAATATTGGCCATCAAAAACTCAACCATCTTGATCCTTTCTTGTGCGGTAAGGCTGGAGCCGAGCAAGAAGAACCTGTTCGGACTCTCTGTATCAATTCGCACTTTGACTAATTCCTCGACGGCTTTGTCCTCGGCCCTTGTGCCCACATAGTCAAGGACTCCTCGGTTTTTCGGTCCGTCTATCTTTTGGACAAAGCCCTTGGCAGCTCGGCTCCCGTTGACTGCCACGACGTATTGCTTCGACATGACCTGATCGTCCCAAATCTCCTCAATTGCCCCTGTAGCCGAGGGAAATCTCATCACTTGATGGAAGGTTGACGCTACGGCTTGCATAGCGTGAAGCCATCCCCTTCCAAGGATCAAGTTATAAGTAGATGGCACCTGCAACACCCAGAACTCTATTTGCTTGACCACGGATCCCGCTTTGATCGGCAGGATAATTTTTTCCAAAGGCCACTCAAGTTGTGAGTTGAAACCAACCAGTGGCGAAGTTGCCGGAGCCAAGTCTGTATCCCGGAGCTTGAGCTGTTTGAATGTGTCGTAATACATGATCTCGACCTAGCTTCCCTGATCGATCAAGATGCACTTGACATCGAATTCTTTGACGCGGAGTGTGACCACTAAGGCATCATTGTGCGGCGTTTGAATGCACTCTAGGTCCCTTGTAGAGAAACTAATTACGTCTTTTTTGTTCGGTCTTGCCCCTTTTGATCGCGGGCTGGACCGACAAAACTTCCCTCATGTGCCCCGCTTTCTTGATTATACCTTGGAGTTCACACACACGCGCCGGTTCCATAATGCCGTGGATAACATTAACAATGCCCTGAGGGGGTGCCTCCAAGTCATCCGGTCCGCGCAGATCAACCGGGGCTTGATTTGCCTTCACGCCCCCGTCAATGTAAAGGTCCAGGTGTCCGGCTGCGAGTAGCTTTTCCAAGTATTGCATCAAAGGCAAACAGTCTTTTGTCCGGTGGCCGCGCTCCCGGTGAAACGTGCAACGGTACTACGGATTGAAACCATTCTGTCCGTCGCCTAACTTAGCAGGAAACCGGACATAATCCTCATCACGGATTTCGCTAAGTATGCAATAAATTGGAATCTTAAAGACCGTAGTGATGCCTGTCCTGGCTTTTAACCTTCTGTTCGCATCAGCTACGTTATCGCAGGGGTATTTATCTCAGTCATTCCATCAACCCCTACCCCGGTTTCGATGATTTGAACCTCGGTCAGATTCCTTGGCGCGATCATTTGAACGGTTGGTATCTTGTCCGACCGTGTGCACCTTGCCAGCTGACCTCTTGTCTGTTGCTACCGGAGTTGCCTTTGCGGTAGATGCTGCCGTATCATCTTTTACTCGGATGTGCTCATTGATGCGCTGCATTAATTGGCCCATGGATGTCGGCTGGTGCATAGTAAGCGAGTCCCACAGTCTATGTCTGACCGGGAGACCACGCTTATACTACGTGATTGCAAGGTTGACCGGGCAATCCAAGATCTCGTTGAAGGTTTCCCAGTACTTGGAGTTGTATGCCTTGAGCGTGTCGCTCGGCTCCATCTTGACACTGAGAAGGTGGTCAACTTCCTTTGGCGTCTTAGTGTTGGTTTTGAAGCGCGTCACAAAGGCTTCCACCAACTGTTGCCACCCCTCGATGCTTCCCTCCGGCAACCTTTCGAACCATTTCAAGCCCAGCTCGCCTAAACTTGACGGGAAGATAAGGCACATAAGAGCGTCATTTCGCCTTTGTCCGGCCATGACCTGTCGGAAGTGGCTCACATGCATATATGGATCAATTTTTCCGTCGTAGAGCGTGAACTTTGGCTGGTGGAAGCCCGTCGGAAGCGGTGTTGTTTCTATCTCCAGGGAGAAAGGAGTGGCGCTCAGCCTCGCCAAGTCTGTGTCTAAAAGGAGAGGTGCAGCGAGGCGGGGTGGAGGCATTCCGACCTCTTCACTGGCGTGAACCCCAAAGGATAGCCACTGGAATGCCGGCACCCTCTGAGCCTCCTGCCGGCAAGCCCATTTCTTCAAGACTGCCCGCAAATCCTCTGAACGAGCGGAATAAGAATACCTCGACGTCATCGCCGGATGTGAGGGTTGATAGGTGTTGTCTTGCACGCTGGACTTCTCTACGTGGGCATCAGAATCTCCAACCTTGTAACTTTTGGTGATTGAGATGGATGGAGTACGCCGCTGGCTCTAACTGCTTGAACGGCGAGGTTGGGTGCGCTCACTGTGGTCTCCCACTCCAGCTACACCCTTCCCTTTGACATGTCGTTTAAGATCCTCCATCTCCGCCGCCATTCGCCGGATGACGGCGTCTTGGTCCCTTAGCTTGTTTTTCAGTCGTCTGGCATGCAATTCTCTCCGCCGCCGGTGACCGTCTGGACTCCGTGAATGGCCAAAGCTTCTTCCGTGCTTATCCCTCGCGTCTCTTGAATGTCCTCCTGGAGAAGTCTCTAGGTCCGCCATCGGAGGAATGATGGTGGGATGTCATTCTCTTCGTCTACCTGACTCTGGGGTAACTCCGTCGATGGCAGACAACGGAATTTCATCATTGTTCGCCATGGACGGCGATCAGATGAGCCTAGAAGACAAGGTTTTGTCTGTTAAGTGTTCCCGCAGACGGCGCCAATTGTACGGGGAGCAAATATTCTGGCAAGCCCGTATTCCTTTCTTCCAAGCTCCTGCCTGTCCGATCGATCTGCGAGCACAACGACGGTGAGCTACCCGGCGGTGCATGGCCGGAATACCCCTCCGACGATCAAGTTAGACACACACACAGGGATAGAGAGAGAGAAAGGATTGAGTGTATAATGTAAGTCTCACCAAATGTTCATCTGCCTCAGCATGGGGGGCGCAGACTCGTTTATACACCTTCTGCGCCCCAAATCTACTCCCATTAGTCTCTCGACACATGGTGCTGCTATCCCATCTGTCAGCGTAAATCTAGCTGAACATCACCTAACCAAGCTGCCAGCCTACACCACTGGGAGCTCGGCAACCGGGCTGCAGCACCTCGACTGCCAAAGGCCGTGCTGTGTTGCTAGCCAGAGAGCTCCGCTCGCTAAGCTCAATGACGACCGAGCTCGGTTGCATTCCGGCATAGCTGAGCTCGGGACAGTGCATGCCGGTTAGCCGTCGGCCTTCCTACCGAGCTATCCCACGAACCGTGGAACCCAGTGAGGCAGCGGACATCTCGGTGGAACCATCACTCGACCGGTCTCTGCATCCTAAAGCCAAGTAGCTCGGTTCAACCATGCCTTGCCTTAACCAAGCAAAACCTTTCTGGGCAGGCCCATGCTACCACGACCCAACTGTTTTCGGCCCAAATCTGCCCGGCCATTACCACGGCCCAATCCAGATCATAAATCTCCCTCTCAATCCCCAAACTAGATCATGAGAGATTGTAAGTAGTAGCAGTAGTCGGGAAGAGAAATCACTATTGGGGAGGTGCAGAAGAGAGAGATTGCTAAATTTGAGAGAAAAGAATGATGGTGGTTGCACGTGGAGAGAGATCATGAGAGTGGGGCTTGCGGAGGTGTAAGGTTGTAGAAGTAGTAGTTGCGTAGAGAGTGAGAAAGAGTTTGTGGTATCGAAGTGGGGTTAGGTTAGGCTAGGCTATGCGATGACAGCGATGGAGATGGGTGGAGGGAGCGAGGGAGGGTGGGTAGGGCTACAAAGATGGGTAGGGCTACAAAGATAGAGGCAAAGTAGGGAATATGATAGGGTCCAAAGAAAAATAGGTAGGGAGCAAGTTTGGAAGGTAATGGGCCAATGAAGTTGCAAGTCCAAATAAAAAAGTAGTGAGCATTTAGCAACAGTCTATTTAAAACCATGGTTGAATACAAAGTTTACAAGAGAAGCGATGCATCCTTCAAGTTAAGGATCGATCTTGCCACTTCCCCCTTCCTTTTGATAAATATATACAATTTAATTTTGTTTATTCACTTTAAAGTTAGGTCCACTCCTTTAGAAGAACCATTCAAGGAGAAGAATCATCTTTATGCACCTTTAGATAGTACTATTTTGTTAACAAATCATGCATAGTAACTTATAAAGAAGGGGTAAAATGATATGCATATCTGCTTTCCATTGACTAGATGGATGAAATTGAAACCTCAAGTTCTTCACAATTTGTAGATATAAACCAAAAAATGGTAAACAAGTGTGAAAAGTATGGCCACTATGGCTTGTTGGCCAAGTGATATGGTCTTCCCCTCGTTTGTTTTGAAGCTTTTGATGTTTTTAGAGGGAGAATAGAGGAAAGCCATTGAGATACACTCTTCATTTTCTCCTTTAAATATTGGCCTCCCTATCACCTGCTTGTACAGTCCACCACTCCATGCCTGTGATAGAAAAAAAAGAAGAAGAGAAATGTATAACTGTAAAGATGGAGAGCCATTGATGATGTTAATTAACTAAATAGAGATTAGTACAAAATTGTTATGATTTTGTCCATCAACTTGATTAGAATATCACCTGCGGAATGATTAGAGCCTCTACACGGAGGTTAACTTTAGGAAAACAAATAAAATATAGAAAAAATAAAGTGACAGATCATTAGTGTACTGAAATTCTATTAAAGTAGAATGTGGGTCATGTTTGTGGGATTTACCAATTACATGTTGTAGCAGTTAAAATAGATGGACAGCCAGATATTATTAAAGGGTGTTGCTATCATTGGCCTTCCTTTTTTTTCTTTTTTTTTTTTATAAAAATATTTAATTTTTTTCTTTTATATTATACAAAATGATAATAAAAAAATTTATTTTATTCTCGCGTAGTTTAATACCAAAACCCTTTAACCTCAAATAGAGCTAAAAAGCCTTCATATAATTTTGAATTAAAGTGTCACCGTTAATTTTTTTTCATCTAAACTAACAAAATATGTATCACACACACTATTTTGAAAGTGAGTATGGTTTTCTAAAGCATTTCCTCAGTTGAAAAAAAAAAAAAAAGTCTGGTTTTTTTAATCAATAAAGTGAAATCAACACAATAAAAAGATAATTTTGCCCCATCTTCTCCAAACTTAAAATTAAATTAAGATGTTAATTAGAAAATAAATAATAATTAAGGGTTGATCAAAAATATAATTAAATTAAAATTAGAATAAGATGTTAGGAATTACAATAAATAATTAAAAATTTAGAATTAATTGTGATTGAATTAAATTAATGTTAAAAATTATATATTATGTGTATGAGAGGAGAGAAAAAAAATGCTTAAGGCTTGATGGCGTTATAGTTATTTCACAACTATAGTTAACAGACTTAATAGTTGTATTTTACTCTAAAATTATATGGAGATTTTTAAAGTTGTATTTGAACTATAAGGAAATAAATTGCTCATGCCTTAAATCACAAGAGGCAAAATATATATATATTTTTTCCAATTATAATAAGGTCACAAAATTACAGTCAAGCCATTCTTTAATGTCCAGAGCGTTTTGTAGAATAAAAACCAAAGGAAGAAAGTGTGAATAGCACTACCCTTATATATTAAATTTCTTTGATGATGCATATAATCTAGTATCATCTTTTATAAAGTAGTGGGGAATGGTGATCGCTAATCACTAATCACTGATCAGGGCTTTTCATTGTCTTCTAAGTTACAACACTGTGGTTCCCACAATATCAAGTGTTAATCATTTTGGTTTCAAAAATTATATTCCTCAGTGGATGAATTTCACTGTATTTTTCACCAATTATTTAGATTTACATAACAAATATTATATGGTGATCTAAGATCAATTATTAATAAATATTAGTATGTTATATGTTGGTGTAAATGGTATGAATAATTTCAAATCTTATTGATAAGAAAAGCTACAAGATGTTGTGGTGTTTGTTATGAAACATTATTGTTGTATTAAGTACATTGTAATAAGATGCATACGATTTAAAGGTGTATATTATCTTAAAAAATACAAAATTTGTTAAAGGTGTATATTATAGTAACTCGTTCATCACTTAAAAAATACAAAATGTGTGTTTTTTTTTTTGGGGGGGGGGACATATGCATTTTTAGGAGGCATGTATGGTGTTTTAGGAGGCATGTATGGTGTCAGATACAGGAGGGTTAGATGGTACCATGGAATCCTTATTAGTCACAGAAAATAAGGTAAATTATACTAACCTCCTTTAAAGTTAAAAAAAATATAGCAAGTCTCATAGTTTTGATAAAATTATAAATAACTCTCTTGAGCTTTTAATTCCTATAACACTTAATCCACTTTTCATTCATAATTTGTTAGTTAAATGAATCAAAAAAAATGATATTGTCGTCTCTTTTTACATAAAAATATACACTTTACACTGTTTATTTTTGTATTTTTTCGTCATCTAGATCAGTTTTGGTGCATTTAATATTACTAAAACGGAGGTTAGCGTAATTATGTAAAAATTGTGAAATTTATTGTATTTTTTTTTCTAAATTCCATGAAAAGTTTGTGTAATTTAATGAAGAAAATAATATTTTGATTTATATATATTCAATCCTTTTGAATTGCAAAAAAGCATCATTTGTTCCATGCAATTTTAAGTATTTTATAAAAATAAAACAAAAAAACTAGCTTTTTAACTCCAAAATTTATATAACATTATTTTAGCCTTTCAAAATCTAATAATTTTTCATTGATTCCCTTTTACACAATTATCAATTTTTTGTGCTTTTTTTTTTCTTTTCCACTGGAGATCAAGATTGTATCGTTTAGTCCTGCTAGTGGACCCATTTTAGGCCATTTTGATGATTTGAACTGTTCACATTTTAGGATTCGACGAGCATATCATTTATGCAAAAAATCGAATCGATTGGATAACGACAATCACATTTCGGATAAGTTTTGTATGAACTGTTTATTTTCTTACTGTCTATTTTTTTCATATAAAACTGATCCGAACATATGAATGCCGTTATCCAATCGACTTGTTTTTTTGTATGAATGATGTGTTCGGTGAATCTTAAAATGCGAACAACTTAGATAATCGAAGTAAAATCCAAAAGTGAACCCACTAGTTAAACTGAACGGTCCAGTCTTGATCTCCAATCGGAGACTAACAGGACCACTGTTTAAAGATTTGGTTGTTGATGGGTTTTCATCGGGGTATGAATCGCAACCTAAGTTTCAAATGGTTTGTAAAAAATGATAATTTTCTACATATTATTTGACACACACTCATGTAGGTATAGATTTAATATTAGGTGGATCCCATATCTATTTGAGTGTGTACAAAAGTTTAGAAAATGCGATATACCTAACATTGTTGATATATTTGTGCAACTAAAGTTACCTGTATTTGATCTCCAATTGTGATGACTATAGCATCTGTGTCAGGGCAGAATGATACCCAACCTTTCTTGGAGTAAACATGAAACTCAGAAGACCCTTCACAGACATGCATACATAGTGCATGAGAGTAATCTGATCCTCTGATCAGCATCTTAATCACATCACATTTCAAGGAGCCGACCCACTGGTCACCAGAAACATTGCGGCTATGTTTGTAGAAACAACAAACTGAGCCATCAAAATCTTGTCCTCGTATGATCCCATTTCCACATTGTGATTTTCTTGCATTATGCTCCTCCATAGCTAATACTACTCTTCCACCTACCTTCTCTATCTCCACCAAAAGCATTTCCATGTTCTCACTGCGATATAGAGTAAATAAGTATATATGGCATTAATTTTTCAAAATAAATGTTACAATAATTTAATTTCTTACTATATTTCACAATGTGGATTATATTTTTGTGTAAAAAAAATAAAAATAAAAATATGTACACTTTTCTCTTTTTTAAAATTTTTTTGTAAACAAACTTTGTTAATCAATAATTTAAAAACACTAGTCAGTAAAACTTAAATATAAATGGGAGTACTTAGTTAGTATGTGGTGCACATAGATGCACTCCCGATAATTATATTTTTTTTTTTGATCGGCCCCGATAATTATATGAGTCAATGTCATTTGATTATAATAACGTGATTTTGGTTACAATTTATTACATTATGTGACTTTTTATAATCAAATCATATTGAATAGTAATCAATCACGTAAAATTATAAATGTTGAGAATATATAATTGTTTAAACTTTTAAATTAATTGATAATCAATAATTTAATATAGCATTAAAATAGAAAATAAAATTTTATATTTAAATCTCACTATCTACTTAATAATTAAAATATTTACACGTAGCGTAGCGTGTGCACTACAATTTCACCGTCTACATGTTAAATAAATATCATAAAAGAAGAAGGAAGAAGCACTTTTATTTATTCAAAAAATATTTTTTTTATGTTAAATTAATTTTTAATCATTTTCTCAAAACACTCATATATATATATATATATATATATGAGTGTTTTGAGAAGATGATTAAAAGTTAATTTTTTTTGACTTTTTAAGTTTTTTTTTTTAATGTTTTATGTGATAAGTGATTTGATCCAAAATGAGTTAAAAGTAAACTTTTGACTTTTAACCAATTTTCCCAAATGGCCCCATAGGCCTAATTTGAAAATGAAAAATGCTTCGGACCCCACGGGGGGTCGACTCCCAGTGAGGTGGTGCACCGTGATTGGACAAAAAAAAAAACTGTTTTATTTATTTATTATTTTTTTTGAGTTTCAGCCAGTGGGGGCTCGCCACCTCACTGGGGGTGCGACCCCCACTGGGGGTCTCCAGCAGTTCTGTTTGAAAATTTGGTTAAAAGCTAATTTTTGATTTTTGATTTTTAATTTATTTTGAATCATATATTCTCTTTATTTTTTTACACGTTTTTTTAAAAAAAGTAAAAAAATTAACTTTTAACCAATTTTCCAAAACAAGCCAAAGCTATTTTCACTATCTTAAAATATTTTTAATTTTCTTAAATTTATTTCACTATTTTCAATATTTTTTTAATGTTTTGAGAAGTTGGTAAAAAGCTAACTTTTGACTTTTTTAGCCAAAAAAACTAGCTTTTTGAGTAGTGACTTGGGTAAAAAAGTTAGTTTTTTTTGGCTAAAAAGACTAAAAGCTAGCTTTTTGCTAGCTTGCCAAAGCAAGCTAAGTTTTTGTTTGGGATGTGGGTTGACTTTTTGATTTTTTAGCTATTTTAGTCTGAGGCTAAAAAGCTTTCTTTTGTGATATTTTTTTGATTTTTTTGACTTTTGTGAGAGAAAATATAAAATGATTGTAATTTAAATGTGACATTTTGATATATTGACTTTTTTGCCTATTTTGACATGGTTTGGGAAGAGGGTTTGGGGGATTTTTTTTTTGGCTAAAACAGCCACAAAAAATAAAGTAGACTTTTTAGTCCAATAAAATAAAATATTACATCTAACCTATAATCATTATATTATTTCTTTCACAAAAAGTCAAAAAAATCAAAAAAGTAAAAAATCCTTCACAAATCAAGTTTTTTAACCCGAGGCTAAAATAGTCAAAAAAGCTAAAAAGTCAACGCATTTCCCAAACCAAGCCTTTATCTGTTTGGGAAGATGGTTTGGGTGGATTTGGGGCTATTTTAGCCACAAAAAATAAAATAGGTTTTTTACCCAATAAGACAAAACATCACATCCAACCCATAATCATTACATTCTTTCTCTCACAAAAAAGTCAAAAAAATCAAAATTCAAAAATCTTTCCCCAATCAACCCTTTTAACCTCAAATTAAAATAATCAAAAAGATCAAAAAGTCAAAAAATTAACCCACTATCCAAACGAAAGCTAACCCACTTCCAAACGAAAGCTAAAGTAACCCATGCTAGCCTAAATAAATTTTTTAATATTAAACAATATTCCAAAAACACTCATTAACATTTCCTATTAAAAAAATTTGCTAACTATCATCACAATTATGACATTTTTATCACTTTATGAAGAAGCTACAATGGATTAACAAGCACGCTCAAACAAAGTAACTGGGCTTTCCTCTTTTTTTTTTTTTTTTTTTTTTTTTTTTTTTTTTTGTGGTGAATTTGGGAAAAGATTATTTTAATAATTTTTTAGTATTTTTTATTAAACTATGAGATAAAATAATTTGATATTCCTAAGGCCTGATTTGGCATATTTTTAAAAAGTTAAAAAGTTACTATTCTGTTTAAGTGACATCATCTTATTTAAGTCATATCACCCTTCTATCACATCACTTCAAACCCAATCTATATTTTATAAAAAGTCAAAAAGTATACTTATTTAGAACATCTCAAACAACTCCTTAAAATAATTTTTAAATTTTTTAAGAAGAGATGCACTATAAAAAGTAAGATTAATAAAAATGAATTTTGACTTTTGATATTAACTTTTAAACTTTTTAATGACTTTTTTAATTTTTAAATCAAGGGGTTGTTTGGCAACTCATATATTAGTACATTTTTAAAATCTTTTTTAAATCACAACACTTTTCTATTTTTTTTATATCCTTTCATAAAAAATTAAAAAATATACTTATTTAACCTATTTCAAACCACCCCTAAAATATGGCGTTCCAAACCACCCAGCACATGCGCATGTATGTGTAGGTATAAAAAAACAATACACCTTGCTTGTTTTTACTTTTCAGAAAATATTTTTCAGAAAATTCTATTTTCTTATTTTTCATATTTTTTTATTTTTACTGAATTTTTTAAATATTTTACGTAATTTTTTTACTTTTTAGACACATCTAATATAAATGCACTTAAAAAGTAAAAAAATTGTAAAAAAAATATTTTAAAAATTCACTAAATACCAAAAATATAAAAAAATACAAGAATTCAGTACATTTTTTATATTTTTATGTATTTATAATTTTTTAAAATATTTTTTCACAAATTTTTTACTTTTTAGATATATCTAAGTAAGATACATCTAAAAAAGAAAAAAAAATGTTTAAAATTTAAAAAATATTCACTAAAAACAAAAAAACATGAAAACAAAAAAAGTCAATTTTCAAAAAACTTAATCCAAAAAATTCAAACCAAACACACTGATTGTCATCGTTAAATATTCATTTACTTTTTACAATAAAATAAGAGAAAAAGCCCATGTTTTACTTTAAAAAAATTGGAAAAAATAACATTTTTTTTTATGGTTTAACTTTATAATAAAATAAATTTTAAATTTTTTATTTTATCAATTTAAATCTTAATATTTTAGTTTATCTTCAATTTAAATTATTTGTCTATTTATATTAAGTAAAATTGATAGAAAAAATATTTGAGTTATTAAACTCAATGTAAATGAATACAAAATGTTTAAAATATTATTTTTCATTGAGTTTAATAACTAAAATATTATTTTTTACAATTTTACTTAACAAAAATAGATTGGTAGTTTATATTAAAAACAAATCAAAAGGTTAAGGTTGAAATTGACAAAATTTAAAAATTAAGATTTTTTTTTGTCACAAGAATGAAACTCTTGTAATTTATTTATTTATTTATTTGTAATTTTCCCAAAACAAATATTAAATTGCTCATGTAAACATTATTTACATAGTAATTTCGATAAATGAGAAATCACACATTGAGTTACTCAGGCTTTGATTGGGAAATGTGTTGACTTTTTAGTTTTTGTTTTGACTATTTTGGCTTGGGTTAAAAAGCTTAATTTGAGAAGAATTTTTTGATTTTTTTGATTTTTTTTGTGAGAGAAGACTGTAATGATTATAGGTTAGATGTGATATTTTGTTTGTTGTGACTAAAATAGCCTATTTTAACTTTTGTGGCTAAAGCCAAAAAAACTCCCAAACCATCTTCCCAAACGGTGTCTCATTATGTTTCAATTATTTAACAAAATTAAGTTACTATATTGTATTCATAAAATTTATCACTGAACTGTCAATATTATTTAGATATCCACTGTCCACAGAAGCAGTATCACCTGCTGTGAGTGTATCCATCAATTTCCCAATGCAATGAAATTTTTTATAGTAACAAAGTTCATAAAACTTCATCGATTGAAATTATTTATGTTTGCTAATTGCTAACAAAAATAGTTAATATTACGTAAAAAAAAATAAAAAAAATAAACCTATTTATTTATTTATGGGCAAATTACATATACACCCCTCGAGGTTTGGCTAAATTACAGATACTCCCCTGAGGTTTGAGAAATTACGAATTCCCCCCTGAATGCTATATTTGCATAAGAAATTAGGGGGTAATTTGTTATGAAATATAAACCTCAGGGGGTAAATTGTTATGAAAATACAAACCTCAGGGGGCGGGATGTAATTTCCGAAACCTCAGGAGATATCTGTAATTTAACCAAACCTCGAGGGGTGTATATGTAATTTGCCCTTTATTTATAAGAGTGACAGTTCAATTTACCTGAACTTTGAATATCCAAGTGGCCAAACTCCCTCCATTTCCAACTTCAACCCATGGTCTCTACACCAAACAAACTCTTCGCTCATCTCACTCTCAACTTCTCCATGGAACTCCTCAAATCCATACGGTTTCTCCGGCGATCTCGACACCACCGCCTTCTTCTCCGGTGACAACCTAAAGATTCCGGCACCGGACATTGAAACCGACGCGATTTGTTCGCGCGTAATTCCATGATTGACGATCTGAAAAAAACCAAATCGAGCGATAGCGTCTAGCATTTCGGCGACGGAGTCATCGTTTTCAGGTGAATTAAGGGACTGAAAGTCGATTTTGGGAGGGTTTTGGATCGATTTTTGGCGAGGGAAGAACCGATCGGGTAAGATGAGGTCGGGGACGCGGAGAGAGTGTTCGAGGAAGTCGGTGAGAATGTCGTCGTTTTTGAAGGATGATCGGCGTCCGGAGGCAATCGGAGAAGGCGGCGGCGCTCGGAAATCGACTGGATTTTGATCGGCCGACGATTCTGGCGAAACTGCCATTGGTTGATAGTGAGAGGTGAGTGAGAGGTCTTACTTGATTATCTTTGTTTGATATATATGAATATATATATAGAGTCACACAGAACACACACATACTCTCTCTCTACACTTTGTGTGTGTGTGTGTCTTTGTCTATCTATAAAGAAAAAGGAGGATGAAGCAGCAATGATGGCATGTCTCTCTGTGTTCATACTTCCCATACTGATTCCTCCACTTTTTCTTCTTTCTTTTTTGCCTTTTCTTTTCTTTTCTTTTTTCTGCTCTGCTTCGCAATGGCCATTGACTCATCCGAGTTTTTTTTGTTTTGATGGGAATTCACCCGAGTCATTTCCGAGTTTCGTTTGTGTGACTCAGAAGCTTGCCTCTTACTGAAAATTGGGCAATTCGACTTCCACGGGAATTCTATTCACATTGTTTGGTTTTAAAAATTTGATTTTTTTTTTAATTTTTGTCTTTTTAAAAAAAAAAAAGTAAATTATTGAAAAATCTAATTTTTTTTTTTATTTTTTTGATAAAAAAAAAAGTGTTCTGAGGTGTCATCATTAAATTCATAGGCCCAGGCCCCGGAGTAGCCGGTTGCCTACCTGATTTAATCCAACTCATAGGAAGGGACCCACCACCGAAGCAGCTCATGTACTTATTATAGTTTGATTAGGGGTTGTTTGGGGTGTCCTAAATAAGTGCACTTTTTGTCTTTTTGGACTAAAAAATTGAGGTTGAAAATATGGATGTTTGGGTTAACTTTTTGACTTTTTATGAAAAAATGTGTAATAAAAAATTGTAAAAATTGATTTGTAAGGAAAAATTTGAATTGGGAGTTGTGCAGCCGTAATTGTTGACTTTTGGTGAATAGTGTTAACTTTTTAACTTTTTGACTTTTTTGCAAGTACCCAAACTTGGCCTTAGTCTCATGTACTTATCTTTTTATTCTATGAAGTCTATTTTACTAATTTTATATTTTTCAATAGACTATTATACCTTTATATATATATATATATATATAGTGTTGATACACATACCACGTTTCCTTTTTTTTTTTTTTTTTTTTTTTTTTTTGGTAGTATCTATCTTTACGTTTTTGATCATTATTCTAATTCAGATCGATATGTTTTTATTTTGCATGCTCGTTTCAAGGCTTTGATGTGCTAGGGTTTCATTGTTGCTATTGTAGTATGGTTCGGTGATTTTGGAGTGAAGACGTCAGATTAGACGGTGTTCGGTTGTGACATTTTCTGGAGTATAACTAGTTGAAATTAGTTGTTTTCGAGTTGCAGGACGAGTGTAGGATTGCATGATTAATGTTAGTATCATTTTGGTTATAAATACATGTTAAGGTTATGTTTTGATTTGTATGATGGATGAGATGCTCTGTTTTTTGATTGATATGGATCAGATGCTCTGTTTATTCAATTATATACATTTTACGTGGCCTTGTCGAGGGGAGGTAATTCAAATTATGTGAAGAATGTGGATGTTCACATTTTATTTGTAATGATGGTGGTGATATTTTGAGTTTGGTTTTGGCAGTGTAAAATTAAAATATATGCATATACTCTGTATGTTTGTTTTATTTTATGTTTTGATTTATGTGGTGATGCAAGTTTTTGTTTGGTAAGTTTTTGATGTTTACTTAATGATACTCTGTGTGGGCGAGATAATTCAGAGTATATCTAATAATGTGAATGTTCACATCTTGTTAATATGAAGTTATGGAGGGTTGCTTGTATGTTGTGTACTGTCACCTTATTCTGATGGTGTCATTTTGATATTGTAAAATGTTTTATGTTGTGTAAAGATAGTGGTGATAGTTTTCATTATGGATTTAGCAATTGAACTGTATATAGGCATTTAATTTTGCACAATGTGAATTTTCATATCGTTTGGATTATTGTATGTGTTGTTGTTCATATGGTTGTAATGTGGTTGTTAACTGTTGTATTGTTGTGTTTTTACAGGAGATGGACTTTATGATGTTGGTCTGCACATATGGTTGCTGTACAACTGTAATAAATGTTGCTCGTGCATTGTGTTATTCGCGTTAGCTTCAGATAGGTCCTAGTTCGGTTGCTCCCTCTCGCTTGATCGGGATTGAACCCTGCAGTTTATGGAAAAAAGAGTCCTGCTTTGCAGATCATGTTGAGAATGGCACAGCACTCTGAGCGCAAAGTGATTTTTTTTTTTGAAATTGAGATTGAGAATGAGTTTATGACCGGGTATTAAGCCTACGACTGACCACAGTCAAAATAACTCAACAAAAGGAAAGACAAGGTAAAAACAACACAACTGTTGACACTTATTAAAATCAAAACGACTCAAAACAAGAATCGAGACAAACAAAAACAACAAACATAACATTCGGATATGTTCCAATTGCGAGAGACCTCTTGGTTCATGGGGAGCCTGCTTCTCCAAGCATTGTTTCCCACCCTTTTTTATTTGTGATTCTCACATCACTTTGGTACTCAATCTCTTTTTTTCTCTGAAAAGCCCTTTTCTCACTTTTTCTCTCAACGCACATTTCTCTATTCTTTAATCTCTCTTATTTTTTATCCCTTTCCAGGTGTGGTTGGTGGATAAGCTGAAAGTTGTTGGCTCTTGCCCTTAGTATTCTGCTAGATTCTCATTCTTTCACTCACAACTAGTGAGCTTTCCCATAGAGGGGTTGTGGTGCAATTGGACGTACAACAGATTTGCAATAGACATCACTTGGCGATGCCCTTGGCTTCACTTGACCGAGATGAGTTGCAGCATGTCCTGTTGGCCAGGTATACAATTGATTGGTCTCACACATTGCATTTTCTAATTCCCCATTCCAGTTCAGACGCCAATTTGGGTGTGATCGTCCAGATGAGGGAATCAAATATCCAACTCCATTTCCAGTTCGTGCTTTGCACTTGACTTGATATCTCATTGCTTGGAGGATGAGAGACTTTTGGCCTCCCTGTTGCTAACTTCAGTTACGTCTTTTTTGACAAGTAGAGTGCCCTTTCTGGCGAGTATGGTGCCCTTTCCGGCAAGTATGTTGACAACGGGGAAAAGACAAAAAACCTGACTCAACTGTGCCCCTAGTTAATCATTTTGACCGTTTTTTGTTTTGGCTTTCTACTGAAACAATTTTGATCAATATGAGAACTAGATTAACATGCTTATTCGACTTCATGTTTTGAAATCATGTAAGTCAGGCTATGAGCATTGGAAATTTTCCTTTTTTGGGTCCGAGAAGTGGTCCAGTTTTGGAAAAAATTGAATAATTTTTTAGAAAATTAGTCAGCTTTATTAAAAATCCTAAAAACTGTTTTTGCAAATAGCCACTGCTCATCCGACGTGGATTTAACTCTAGAGATGCACAATCTTAGATCTGAAGTTGAATTATCTTGCAGCTGAATCTTCCAATGGAATAGGACAATTGATTTTGGATGAAAATAAGCCAATCGGACGTGGATAGGATAGCCAAGTTGAACAAGGATTAGCCAATCAACATGGATGAGACCAGCAAGCTGAAAATAGTTGGGACCGAACTTCAGAATGAAGTTGCCTACGTATCCCAAAGATAGGAATCAGGCCACATGTAATGTGACAACCCTCACCTCTGATTAGTGCTAATCTGTGATTAAGCATGATAAGTAACTGATTAGAATGAAATCCTGAATTGATTGTAGGAGTGTATTGTTTTAAATGCATTTCTATCTGTTTGATTTTTGAATGAATCTGTTCATGTTTTAATTTCGAACTGCAAATTGAAGGCCTTATCGGCAGCCGAATCAGAAACTGATTAGTGTTATGTGTTAATTAGAATTTATGTGATTTTATGGTAGATTTTATTAAAATTCAATTTGGAATGATTAAATTAGACTAAATAAAGTTAAATTACATTAGTTTGCAATAACTACATCTTTGCCATTGAGTGGGCCACTTTTAGAGTCATTGTTTGGAGCTTGGTTTTATATCATTTCTTCAGCCACTTTGGAGACCATAACCGAGAGAGAGAGGGAGAGTAGGAGAATTTTGGTTTCATTGAGATTTTTGGCTTGGAGAATTAAGAGAAATTGAAGAGGGCTTGCAAAATTGGGCTTCCATACCTTGAAATTCAAGACCTAGGTAGGATACTCATCCTTTGGGTTACACATTTAAGTTGTTACTTGCATGGTCCATTGTAAAATTGGTGATTAGAGTCTAGAATTGGCTTAAAGTGTTGTATTGAGTAGCTATGGTTGCATGCATGTTCATGTCATTGAGTTTTGAAGTATTTTCTATGAAAATTTCTACATGCATGTTCATGTTTTGTTATAGTCCATGACTTCACCATGATTTTGAACTCAATCTTACATTTAGTCATGTCTTAGAGCATTGAAATTCATGTGAACTCATGCATCTTAAGTTCTTGCATCATTTATGAAAGTTTCTTTGAAATTGTGTTCAATTGTCTCACCTCTGGGCTTGATTTTACAAAATTGATCTTCAAAACCAGTTTTACTATGAGTCTTCAAGTGTTTTCTAGAAAATTAGCCCAAAAGAATTGAGTTTGAAGTTTTAAAAGTTGAGTTTTGAGTTTGGAGATCAATCTGGAAATTCCAGATTTTGGACCCACGCTCGAGCGTAGGACCTCACGCTCAAGCGTACACTCTGAGTACATGCAATTCCGCTCGAGCATGAAATGCATATGCCCAGAAGTTCATATGTTTTGCAGTCCGCTCGAGCGAGGATCTGAGTCTCACTCTCGAGCGGAGGTCGAGCGTCCGTCGAGCGTGAAAATCGTGCATCCAGTACTTTTTTTCCTGAGTTTACAGTCCGCTCGAGCGAGGGAAGTCACGCTCGAGCGGAGCTCCTTTGTCTGCATGTCCGCTCGAGCGTAGAAAGCCACGCTCGAGCGAGACCCCTATTTTCTGAAAAAATTTTGAAAAGTGTTTTAAAGTGTATTTTTGCATCCTCATTCTATCCTAGGCATTCCTAGGCCTAGTTTAAGGCATCTTAATGAGGATAATGTTATAGAACCACACCAAGTATAATTAGGGGCTAAGTTATTAATCCTGAGTTTGTGTTCATTCTGCAACTGTAGGGTTGGCATCCGAGGACGCTCGTTAGCTTGTCTATAGCCCAGTGCTCTGTGAGTAACAATGTTGTAAAGA